AAAGGAGAAGCAAAAAAAACAACACAACAAAAAACAACAACCGAGCAATCTAACTACCCCATACACCCCCCCCCAAAAAAAACAACAACAACCAACAACTACAAAAAACAACAACCTCCACCCAAACCAGGTAGTTGAATTGACGATGCATTAAACCTTAGAAAATGTATAGACATGATAATATGCGCGCCAGAAAGTTCTACCATCACGTCTACATACTTCATGGCATGCTCGAGTAAATTTTATCTCAGTAATCACCAGGGGAGATCTCCATTCCTCCACCCAACTCTAAAAATTGCTGTTGATGGAGCGTTACTTCGGTTCTTGGCAACTCGGTTCAGGGGCTTTAGGTCAAGTCCCGATCCCCATTTCTGACGTTCCTTTGGGGTTTTTTGGGGTTTTTTTTTTCCAAAGGATTCAGATGAAGCCCCGGACCCTATTTTTGTCGTTCGATTTAAAAAGAAAGACTTCAGATCTGACCCCTGATCCCATCTTTGACTTTTTATCTTTAAAAAAAATTCAGGTCAAGTCCTGAATCCCATGTTTGACTTTTTATTTTTAAAAAAAGAGTTTATAAGTGCTCAAGCCAAGCCACCATTGCGATTCGACATTGCCACGAGTTGAGTTGACCATACACATCGAACGACCCAGCATGGCAAGCTGGCCCTTGCACTACTTTGCCTATAATCATAACTATTTATCAGAACGCTAGATATCTACGTTTAGACATCGTTTCAGCCTTAACCAGAACCAGAACCATTAATGATTTATTTATAGAGGCACCATATAATGTATATGCAGATGGTATTTTCGCCAAAGGCCAGGTGCTGACGAAGCAAAAAATTAAACAACTCCGCATGTAACGCCCTAAACCAGAACGATCAATTATTCATTTACATTTGTCTGAGTAAAAAGAAGCACATGGACACAATAATGGCAATTTAGTGCTGGAAAAAGTAAGTAAGACAGACAGACAGAAACAACAGAGGGAAAGTAAAGAAGTAGGATTTGCCAGTGACGCCCTACAACCACCCACTATTTATAATTTACAGAAACACTAAAGGCAGTGTACTTGAGTGTCCAACGTCAATCAAACAGAGGACTCTTAACTAGTAATAACATTACAATGTATTTACATAGTCAACAGATGTGTATAATAAGATGCTGGTCTACTACTGACATGGAAGCCCTAGTCCCCATCTGCTCTCCCCGCACCCCGCTCTCTCTCTCTCTCTCTCTCTCTCTCTCTCTCTCTCTCTCTCTCTCTCTCTCTCTCTGTCAGTCTCTATATCTCTCTCTCTAGGTGTCTCTCCTAAAACAAGAAAAGCGTCAACAATAGGACTACAAACGAATAAACAAAAGATAGAGCCCAGGAAAAAAGAAGGAAAGAAAAGTTGAAAATAAAAATGAAAGGTAGAAGAGATAATAAGAGAAAAGAATGAAGTAGACGAAAAGAAAAATTATGAAAAGGAGTACATAAAGAAAGGCTGACAAAATAGAAGCGATAAGAACAAACGGGAAGAGAATGCAAGAAAAAAGAAAGAAAGGCTGCCAAAGAAAAAAAAGCAGACACACAGAAAACGGCTACCAGACAGACAGACAAAAATCCTACAACCACAGCAAAGCATTGCATCAACACTTTTTTCCTTGCAATATCATCCATCAGAAGCGCAACATTGCATTGTACAGTGCTCATTATGTATTCAATTCTTTCCTACATAAACATAATAGCACTCACTTCGCACACACTTGCAGCATGCCAATAACTTGGCAAACCCTCATTTTGGTTCTCTTCTACCACCACCCACGATCAAATCCACATACGAGGGGCATACCAAAAGCTTTTCACCTGACCATGAAGGAATAAAGGTAGAAAGCTGAAATTTAGCACTAAACGTAGTCTTTCTCTATGTAGTCGCCTCCCACAGTTACACTTTTTTGCCATCAGTGTATGACCTTGAAAAGACCTTGAGAATAGAGGACCCTCTCTCTGTCACGAAACCAGTCCTCTACTGCCCACGAATCTGCATTTGACTTTTTTACACCAAAATTTCATCACAGCATAGGATGGGCTATTAGTTCCGTATGCGGCATGCATATTATTCGTAAAAAATCATGCTGTTGCTTGCCTTGCAAGAACAAAAACTTCATTACTGCCCCGTGCTCAAATTTCTTCATTTGTATGTTGAAACTGGAGAACAACAGACCCATAATCACTCACAGTGTGCTGGCGGTAAAACCAGTGTTTGGAAATTCCTCAAAATTGACATGCATTCTAGGAAGATGATTGTCGACTTTCACCCCAAATTTCAGCCTTCTACATTTGTTCCTTCGTGGTTAGTTATACAAACTTTTGGTATGCCCCTCGTACATTCATGGGACCGATGACAGTGGTGTAATGGTTAGACAAACGAACTTGTCTAAAATGGCTACCAATTGTCGAGGAGAAAAGTAGACGTCTTATACATTGTCATTATAATGTAAAAAACAACAACCCAACGAAACAAACAAAACAACAACAACGACAACAAACACTCAAGGAACTGGGGGGGTGGGGTGGATAAGTGGGTGTGGTCGTTTGTACAGGTGACTGTCTTATACAGATGGCCGTTAAAGCAGGCTCGAGTGTATTTCGCGACTATCCGGGATGCTGCATCCCGATCAGACCGGTCTAACACTGACAAGCTAGATGAAAGCAACCCGCCTACTGTAAAGTTTTAGTAAGAGTTTTTCAACACTTTTTTTAGTTGAGGTTTTACGGCGCTCGTAACTGCATAAGGTCATTTGAGCGCCAGAAG